TATAGATCTATCGATCTATCTATATATAGATAGGTTGATAGATAAATCAATAGATTAATCGATAGATTGATAGATAGATAGATAGATAGATAGATAGATAGATAGATAGATAGAGAGGGGGGAGAAGTTACCTGTGAAAAGTGGAATGACTAAATCTGATCCTATTTGAGGGGAGAGTGTGATATGTGCTACACTTGGCAGTGCTTAGAACTCTTGGCTCTACATTCAGGGATCGCTCCTAGTGAAGCTCAGGGGACATATGGGGTGCTGGCGAATTGAAGCTTATGGTTGGCCACGTGCAAAACAAGCACCCTACCTGCTGTACTATCCCTCTAGCCCCAATCTAATCTAGTCTTATAAACTATCTTTCCGCAAAGAGCATTCATGTAATATCTAGAATTTGCTGCAGTGGGGACAGGAAAGTGTAGGGTAGGGGTAGGTAAAACAAAATTAAACATACGTTGAAGTGGAATAATTGCTACCTGAGAGTTCTTTATATTATTCCCTACTTATTATGTCTTTTGAAATTTTCCATAATAAAAAAAAGCCCAGGGTGCTTCTTTGTTTAATAAAAGCCATACCCAGCAGGGCTGAGCTTATTAGGCCACTCCTGGCAGCACTCGCTGAGGGAGTTACCACCAAGGGGGTACCCAGAGGTGTTCTGGGAGTCTTGTAGTGCTAAAAACCCCAAACATTTTGTTGTTGACTTTTTGAAGGTTTTAGATTTGGCTACATTCAGCAGTGGTTAGGGGATACTCACAGTTCAGAGGACCATGCGGTATAGTTGGGATTAAGCCCTGGCCTTCCACATGCAAAACAGTCACTCTTACCCTTTGAGCTGTCTCCCTGGTCTCCAAAAAGTTGTTGTATCACAGAATCATATCGCAGAATCATAACTGGAGCTAAGTGGAATCTTTAGAGATTACCTATTTTAGTTAACTTGTTTGATCAGCGAGGAAAATAAGGTTAACCAAAATTAACTGATTTAGCAACATTTCTTCCAGGCTCAGCTTTGGCATAAGAACAAATAAATGATTTGTTTCCAGTCCCTCACTCACCAGTTTTCATAAGTAGTATTTGAAGTCCCAGTCTTTCTTTCTTTCTTTCTTTCTTTCTTTTTTTTTTTTTTAATCTTGTTTTAAGGCCATGCCCAGCAATGCTCAGGGCTTACTTCTGGCTCTACACTCAGGGATTTCTCCTAGCGATGCTCAGGGGACCATATGGAGTGTCAGCAATTGAACCCAGGTTGACAGCAAGCAAGACAAGCATCCTGCCCACTGTACTGTCTCTCTGGCCCTTAAAGGCCCAGTATTTCTTACCTGCAGGTTCTAGGACTTACTCCTGACTCTGTGCTCAGGGATCACTCCAGGTGCTCTGGGGACCATATCTGGTGCCAGGGACTGAACCTGATTTAGACCCTTAACCCCTGTCCTATCTCTCGGGCCCCATTCTTTTTTTTTTAATTGAATCACTGTGAAATAAGTTACAAAGCTTTCATGTTTTAGTTTCAGTCATACAATGATCAAACACCCATCCCTTCACAGTGCACATTTTCCATCACCAATGTCCCCAGTATCCTACCCGCCATTCGACCCCTCCCCTGACCTCTATGGCAGACAATTTGCCCCATACTCTCTATCAAGACTAGAGTGATAGCACAGCGGGTATGGCATTTGCCTTGCATGAAGCCCACCCTTGTTTGATTCCTCTGCCCCTCTCGGAGAGCCCAACAAGCTACCGAGAGTATCTCACCCACCCGGCAGAGCCTGGCAAGCTCACCGTGATGTATTCGATATGCCAAGCACAGTAACAACAAGTCTCATAATGGAGATGTTACTGGTGCCCACTCGAGCAAATTAATGAACAACGGGAGGACAGTGCTACAGTGCTACTCTCTATCTACTTTTGGGCATTATAGTTTGCAATACAGACACTGAGATCTGGCCCCATTCTTTAAGAGTTTTAAGCAAGAATAACAGCCACAAATACTAGACCTGCTTTATTCATTTGATATCTAAATGCCCTAGAGTGTCCCTTACCAGGGTATTCTCATTCTTTACGTTTCACTCTAGTATCTTATCTGGATGGGAACTCTGTCTTAACATTATCTGAATAGGCTCAGCTGGAGTCTTTCAGAGTTGCACAGCACATTCCTGGTACAAGGAGTCAAACTCGAGCCTCACATAGCTGAGTTACATGCACTCTGCCACTGAGCAACATCCCTGTCCAGTCAGCGCATTTGTTATTCAACTTTCTTTTATTGGTCCACAAACAAAAGGTGGCTGAATTTGTACTGCAAAGGACCTGCATAAAGCTCTTAATTTTGAGTCAAGAGAGAGGAGTAAGAGATTCTGAGAATAATGTCCTTACAGATCATGAAGATTAGAGACTTACTACAAGAAAACAGAGAAAGAAAAGATGGGTGGAGTGCTTGAGCAGGAAGCTTAGCCTACATAGATAGTATACAAGACCTATTATTATGGCTAATTTTTATCATCTTTTTGCAGTATTTTCAAAGGAAAGCATAGTCCTCAACCCTGTATTCCCCTGCTACTGGAGATCAATGTGCTAACTTGAACACCACATACATAACAATTTTTTTTAAAGGATCAAAAGGTAAAGGTAAAGGCCCTCCCGTTGATCGTCTATTTACTCAAGCGGGCCCAGTAACGTCTCCATTGGAGACTTTGTTGTTACTGTGTCTGGCATACCGAATACTCTCAGTAGCTTGCCGGGCTACTTTATATGGCTTATGTCCATATCCATGCAAATGTATTTCTAAATTCCCAAATGAATAGCTGTGAATGATAGTTCTGTATATGAGAATAGTAATCCACATATAGATCCTTGAGCTCTGCCAGGAGTAAGCCCGAAGCATGTGTGGCCAGAAGAAAAGAAGGAAAGGAAGGAACAAAGGAAGGGAAGGAAGGAAGGAAGGAAGGAAGGAAGGAAGGAAGGAAGGAAGGAAGGAATTAGTTTTCCAGCCTTGCAAGGTAACATTTAGCAAGGATGGTAATATGTCATTGTTAGATAACTAAGAGTTTGTGTGCAATTTAATGACTGTGGACTCTGGAAAGTTTACCTAACTTCTCAGGTAATAATATCTAGCTTAGGTGTTATTAATAGAGTAAATGAAAACCAAATATTGAGGCTGGAACAAGCGAGTATTTACTGAACAGTTTTACAACCCCTTCATTGTCCTTCCTTGTGAACCTAACACTTCCATCTTTTCCACCCATGTAGCTGCCATTTGCTTTAGGTATTCTTACTCAAAATATGGGCTGGAGCAATAGCACAGTGGATAGGGCATTTGCCTTGCAGGCGGCTGACCCAGGTTCAATTCCTTCGTCCCTCTCGGAGAGCCCGGCAAGCTAACTGAGAGTATCCCGCCCGCACGGCAGAGCCTGGCAAGCTACCCGTGGCATATTCAATATGCCAAAAACAGTAACAAGTCTCACAGTGGAGACGTCACTGGTGCCTGATCGAGCAAATCAATGAACAACAGGAGCACAGTGCTACAGACAGTACTACTCACAATACAACTTGCTCCAACATCTGAGAAATTTTCCCTCTCTACAGACTAACCTCTAGGTAAGATCCTGCAGTGAAGGGAATAGAACAGATTATGGCTTATATGGGAACTATACATGGGACTGTGAATGTGGCCTAATTCTGTGTGGGCCAGAGCAATAGTGCAGCATGTAGAGGATTTGTGTGGGTTAATCCCCTGCACCTCATATGGAACCCTGAGCATCGCCAGGAGTAATTCCTGAGAGCAGAGCCAGGAGTAACATTGAGCATTGCTCAAAAACCAAACATATATATGTTAGAGTGTGTGCCGTGCATGGTGAGACCCCAGATTTGATCTCCGACACAACACACACGCGCACACACACACACACACACACACACACACACACACAGTTCCAAACATATCAACTGACTGGTTGTTACATTGATTTAACAAAAATGGTTATTTGGGGGCTGGAGCAATAATGCAGTGGATAGGGCATTTGCCTTGCACGCAGCATATCCGGGTTTGATCCCCAGCATCCCATCTGGTCCCCAAGCACCACCAGGAGTAATTCCTGAACACACCCAGGAGCAACCCCTGAGTACTGCTGGGTGTGGCCCAAATCTCCTTCACCCCTCACCAAAATGCTTATCATATAGATGTATCATGACTTTCAAAGCAGAATCAAAGAGGACACTGATAAATGGGTTCTTTAGATGGATGACAATGAATATAAGATTGGTGGAACAAATCAGATTTAGTCTGTACTTCCTAAGACAATGCTAACTTTGGAATACAAACAGGACTGCAACAATAGGAACAAGATAGCAACTCACAACACTCATTGTAACAGATTAAGAGTGAAAGTGTTTGAATTTGAATCCAATTCCATCACTTGCTGTACAGTCTAAGCTTTGAACTCCTCCTCAGTTAATGGAAAAGTAATAGCTATTCATGATTATTATTGTTGAAAGGATTAAATAGAAGCCTCAGTGCCAGGACCAATGGTGTGACCTCATCTAAGCACAGGTACAAACACCTCAGCTAAATGCACAGACTGTGGTCATCACAACAGCAACAAAAAAATTTTTTTTTAATTTTCTTTAAAAAAAATAAAATATCTGAGCCAGAGAGATAGAACAGCAGATAAGACACTTGCTTTGCACTCAGCCAACCCTGGCACCCTATACAGTCCTCTGAACACTGCCAGGAGTAATTTCTGAGTGCAGACTCAGGAGTCACTGGATGTAGTCCCTCCCCACCAAAAAAGAAATAAAATTTCCCTAACTTTTGTTCACTTTCATTTATTGGTTGTTTAACTTGTCTTTACTATTTCCCACTAGCATGTAAGCTCCATAAGGTCAGAGGAATTAAATTTCCCGCAGTATCCTGGGTACCTGGAACAGTAGGAAAACTGTAAATATTTATTTTATTTTATTTTTTAATTTATTTTTATGTTTTATTTTTAAATGAATCACTGTGAGGTAAAAATATCGAACGCTTCACGAATTTGGGTGTCGTCCTTGTGTAGGGGTCATGCTAATCTTCTCTGTATCATTCCAATTTTAGTATAAGTGCTGCTGAAGTGAGCATAACTTAGTAAATAGTTATAAATAATGCTGAACCAAGGATCAAACCCAAAGCTTCATACATACAAGGCAAACATGAGTTACATGCCCACTTCTGTCTTATAAGTATTTGTTGGTGATTCAGTCAAATAATGAGTGTGATTATAGAAATATTTTTTCTCTCCATCAACTTTCAGCCTTCATATTCCTGGTCATTGATTTGTCCCTGCAGTCTTAGTATAGGGACCTACCTCCCTAACTCTGCAAATTGAGCACATCTGAGACCTCTGGAACTCTTTTACCCATATTTCCCAAAATTTTCCGTTGTAACTGACACAAGAAAGTTCTTCGAGTTAAGTTCAGAATATTTGGGACTGGAGCTACCATACAGTGGGTTAGGCACTTGCCTTGCATGGCACCAACCCAGGTTCAATCCCTGGTATCCTATATAATCCCCCGAACACCATCAAGAGTGATCCCTGAACGCAGAGCCAGTAGTAACCCCTGACCATCGCCAGGTGTGACCCCAAAACCAAAAACAAACAAGTAAACAAAAAAAAGTTCAGGGCATTAACTATGATCCTTAACACGTCTTTTACCAACAACTATTAGCAGTCACCTAAAAAAGAATACCAACAGCATGTTGTGTCTGAACTGACTATAATCATGTTTGTTTACTGATGACTGCTGCCTTCATTAAGAATTATTAGAGCATTTTTATTTTTGCTTATGTAGGGAAAATTTAATTGTGTTTATTTTAGTTACCAAGGTTCAGAGCTATTTTTAATATTCTTTTGATATGTTAATAGCTCCTAATGAAGATTATTACTCTAGAAACTAAAAGGAGAAAGCTGTTTTCTGAAGAAATTCCATAGTTTCTGGGGCTTAGCATTTATTTTTACTTTATTTCTATTCTTAATAAAAGCTGGTCAAATGGTGTGTGCTCCAGTGGATTGAATTATCCCATGGGTCCTGAAGTTGTTTTATTTTGAATGATTTAAAATCTGATTTTGTTCACTTTTTCATAACAACTATGGCTTTCATAAGTCACTATGTGTTTAGTTTCAGGGAAAATTTCAAGTATTTAAACATGTGTCTTTAGAGAAAAATTATAATCTTAATGTTAAAAGATAAAATTAATATTTTCAAGCAAATAGATGAACAGCGGAATGACAGTGACAGTGACCAAAAAAAAAACAAACAAATATGTGAAAGAATTGGGTGAAAATGTTTGCAGTTACAGATGATCTTATAATTGAAAATAATCTTCCCATAAATTTAACTCTAAGAGTTGTAATTGATCATGTGAAATGCCTACAGTTTCAGAAATACTTTGCTTCAAATTTTGATTCTAAGAAAACTAAGTGGTGAGGTCAGAAAGATAGTATGGCAGGCAGGGCCCCTGTCTTAAATCTGGCTGACCTGGGTTCAATCTCCAGCACCCCATGTGATCCCCCAAGCACTCTCTGGATTGTTCTCTGAGTGTAGAGCCAGGAGTAAGCATTGCCAGGTGCAGCCTAAAACAAGCAATAACAACGAAATCAATAAGTGAATTTTAATTGGGATTGGGAAAGGATGTCTGAATGATTTCTGAAATGGTCCTAAACATGCCACTCCATTTGATTGTATTCATTTATTTTTGTTTTGTCTTTGGATCCCACCCCGCAATGCTGTGGGCTTCTCCTGACTCTGTGCTTCTGGTGGTGCTTGGAGGACCATGTGATGCCCAGGATTGACCCAGACCTCGTGCATGCAAGGCATGCGCTCAGTCCATGAAGATATCACTCTAGTTCACTTTTGCCATTTTGTCCTGAATTCTTATGCAAAGCTACATTCTCAACACTGATGATTAAAAAAGCAAAACGTTGATCAGTTTTTTTAAAAATTAAAAATATTTTTAAATATTTTTGTTTCAAATATTTGACAAGAGTGAATGGAGACATTACTGGCACCCACTTGAGCAAATTGATGAACAACAGGATGACAAGTGACATGAGACAAAAATATTTTATGTCTTATAGCAAATTTTATGTCTTATAGAAAATTTTTATGTCTTATAACATTTAACCTGAATTTAATTCTTCATGTAAAAATAAACAAGCACATCCATCTTATTGGCATGCAAATTTGTCTAAGTCTTTAATAAGTCATAAAAGTATATATACCAGGGGGCTGGAGAGATAGCATAGCGGGTAGGGTATTTGCCTTGCATGCAGCCGACCCAGATTCAATTCCCAGCATCCCATATGGTCCCCCAAGCACCGACAGGAGTAACTCCTGAGTGCAGTGCTAGGAGTAGCCCCTGTGCATCGCCGGGTGTGGCCCAAAAAGCAAAAAAAAAAAAAAAGTATATATGCCAAAGAATTGTTTTAAAATAAATTTCTTCATGAATTTATTTATTTATTTTATCAAACACCAGCAAGTGTTTGATTTGTAGGATATTTTAGTTTGGGGCTACACCCAGCAGTGCTCAGGGGTTACTCCTGGCTCTGTGTTTGGAGGTGTCACTCCTATTGGTGTTAGAGGACCGTGCAATGCTGGAGGTCAGACCTGGCCACCTGAAGATGTCTTGTTTCAGATGAGGTCTCAAACTCCATGGAGAAGCTTGAGAGATGATGCAGGGGGTAAGGCCCTTGCCTGCTGCCAATACTGACTCGACCCCCAAGCATGACTGGAAGCAACTCCAGAGCAGAGAGCTGGGAGTGACCCCAAGCACTACTGGATGTGGCCCAACTCCCTCTAATAATAATAAAACAACAATTAAACTATAAGAGTGAGTTGCACAGTCTTACTGAATCTCTCTCCTGTGTACAGGCGGTGTACATGTTATTCGTAAACTTCTTTGCTAGCTCAAACCCCCAGTACCACATATGGTACCCTGAGCACCACCAAGAGTCAATTCTGAGAACAACCAGAAATAGCTCTTGAGCACCACTAGGAGTAGTCTTCAACCCCCCCAAACAAACAAACAACAAAGTTCATTTTGGCTTTTTTCTTATTTATTTGGTGCCTGTTTAATCATTTTTCTGCCCCTCTCGGAGAGCCCGGCAAGCTACCGAGAGTATCTCGCCCGCACGGCAGGGCCTGGCAAGCTCCCCGTGACGTATTCGATATGCCAGACGCAGTAACAACAGTCTCCAATGGAGACATTACTGGGCCCGCTCAAGCAAATCAAAGATCAACGGGAGGGCCTTTACTTACTTACTTTTATTTAATCATTTGCCAGCCTAGATCATTTGCGAACCTAGATGTGTATGGTTTGTTATTGTTGTTTGCCACCTGGAGAAGGAAAAGTTTGAGGTAGAATAAAAAACATGGGGAAAAGTTATTTCCTTTTTTTTTTTTTTAATAGTGATTATATGGGGGGTATGGTGCCGCCAGCAGGTCAATCTGTACCTGTGAGACGAGTGCATCAGCAGCCTCATGGCGCCTTCAGACTTCCAGATACCCCAAAATTGCTTCTGTGCTTTTGGCCAGACCCCAAAAACTTGGGGCAAAGTTTACCAAGAAAGTAAACGGCCAAAAGTTAGGTATGTGGGAAACACACCCACAAACCACCTCCAGCTCAGCTATATAATTGGAGGCAAGGCCTCTTTGGTTCCTGATTGAACTGCTTAATGGACATGATCCCAGAGACTCAGAAACGAATCTCAGAACCCAGTGGCTTTAGGTAGAAATACGTCTGGTCTCTGCAGTAGGCTACCGGTGCTGGGCCAACCCAGGTGGGAATAGGTTTCGTGCCTTGGCCTACTCCCCCTGGCGGCCCAGTGACCGCCATCCATCTGAGGCCACTGGACAGTCACATTTGGGCCCCCAGTGACGAGACACACAGGGCCTCCCGGGATGAGGGTGGAGCCGGGCTTGTCCTCCCCGCCCCAACGAGACCCCAAGTCATCGCCCACGAATGGCCTCTCTGGCTCCTGATCAAGCTGCTTAACGGCCATGATCCCAGAAACTCAGAAACAAATCTCAAAACCCAGTGGCGTTTGGCAAAAATGCACCCGGACTCCACAGTACGTTACTGTTGCCGGGCCACCCCAGGGAGGAAAGGGTGTTGTCCCTCCGCCTGCTCCCTCTTGGCTACTTGGTGGCTGTCATCCTCCAGAGGCCATTGGACAGTCAGGCTTGGGCCCGCAGTGACGAAACTTGTTGGGTCTCACGGGATGGGGGGGAGGTGGAGCCGGGCCTGTCTTCCCCACCCCAATGAGACCCCAAGTCATCACCCACGAACAGCCTCTTTGGCTCCTCATCAAGCTGCTCAATGGCCATGATCCCAGAGACTCAGGAGCAGATCTCTAAACCCAGTGGCTTTTGGCAGAAATCCCTCCAGATTTAAGTGTTAAAATTTCAGAATTTCAAAACCACATGGCCCTACTGCAGCCACACGACATCATATGTTATTCATAACCAGCAATAGAACACAAATTGTCTATTCTTGCCTTTTCAGCAAATCTGAGTGTTGGGGTAAAATCTTAAATAATGGTGGGTCTGGTGTCGAAATAGTGAATGTCCGTCCTTCACGCCCAACCGAGGTCGCCAGCTGCCCCCCACGAGCGGCTCTCCGGCACGGCCACGGCCCCGGAGGCACAAGGACTTAGCACAGAGAGCCACCCATTTGGAGCAGAAAAGCAAATGGACTATGTGTTAAACCGCGCCAGCATGCCTGCCCGGAGGGGAAAGGGTGTTGACCTACTCGCCCAATCCTCTCGGGAAAGAAAGATGGCGGCCGCACGGGAGCCTTGTGGACAGCAGGTTTGAGCTGCGGGAGGGGGGGGCGGCAGGGACCTCATGGGAAGGGGGGCGTAATGGGCCGTCCTTCACGCCCGACCGAGGTCGCCAGCTGCCCCCCACGAGCGGCTCTCCGGCACGACCACGACTCCAGAGCACAGAAACCAATCTCTTAACTATCTAACTTTTAATAGAAATTCTTCCAGGGTTAATAAGTAAAATAGCAGAAATAGCGGCCGCGCGACATCATTTTATTCTTAAACAAAGTTGTAGAAAGCAAATCATTCCACAACGCTG